AGAGGCCTAAAAGAGTTAAATACTTTGTAGAATCCTACAAGTGCTTTCAAAAATATTGTAAAGTAAGCAAGTGCCTCTTGGTTAATAAGTTTATAATTTTATATGTGGCAACTTAATCTTGTCATCTACAGTTTTATATCAGGTTGGCTGCTCATAAAACTAAAGCATTGTTCTGTGTTTAGCTATCCTCCTATAGGTTCTGATGGAATTTTTCCAGCCATATGTATTGTACTCAGTGCTTTGGGATGATTGTAACCAAATGAAGCCAATAACATATTAAAGGTACCAACTGTGAGAAAGTATGGTTAGCTGAGGTTAAATTTGCTGGTTAAACAAGCTACATGTAAGATATTTAAGATGTTTCCAAATATATGTATTAATATTTATGAAAGGCATTGGACCTTCTGGTAAATGTTTTCTTAGGTTGTTATCTAATGGTTAAAACTGATTTCTAAGTTTTCATGTGCTATTGCTATTGTCAGTAAGCGATCTGGGACTGGCTTCCCCATTTCCCTAGATGGCTAGCATTTTCCTGTAATGGCATAGCCAAAATAAGAACTTAAATTATAATTTCTTAGCTAGATTTACTTCACCATCAGCGAGGTAAACAGTAAACAGGAAAGACCTCCCTTTCAAAAGTTTTCCTCATGGGCATTGTCTGCCTCAATATAAACTACAGAACATGCCTGTGACTACAGACTTCACTGAAGATTAGAGATGGGACTTGAGCACCCCCTTGACTTGCATCCTCTGGTCTGCTTTAACAAAAACCAGGAGGAAAAGAAAGCTAGGCATCATAAGCAGTGGGTGGCAGACCTATTAATGGCTGCTCTGTACAGTGATCTGCCCTCAAGGAGACCCAACAGGCCAGTCCACTGCAGTGGCTTTCAACGTGGCAAGCCTGGGCTTCAACAGAAGTCAGCTTGTGAAGAGCCCTGGCAGCTCTTCCAAGAGTTGGATCACTGGAAATGGACCTGCCCTGGAGTCGAAGGACACCCAGGTCAGAGCCACAGATCTTACTGGCTCTAAGCTGAAAAGCCCTTCACTCAGCCCAGCTTCCAAAGTGACCACTGCAGCTGAGGGGACAGCCAAGTAGGGTCAGCAACACTGCAGGCAGAGATGTAAATATCCTGTTAAAGATGCTACCTGCCTTTACCTGGCCAGCTCTCCTCCCAGGCCAGCTAGGTAATGGAAGTCAACAGGGTGCCCTCCCCAAGGAGGTTCTCTCCTCCCTTAGGATGTACCCTATGTAAAGAGATAGGTCTTGGCCTCTTAACTTACAAGGCTTTAAAGCCCACCTGATTATTAAGCCCCTTCTGTAAGTTTCTATTTGGCTTAGACAGCATCTTTCTGTCCTTTGTTATAGACCCTGACTAGAAGACCAAGGGTCAGCACTGTACAGTTGATGGTCCTGCCATCTCAATACTAGCCCCTAGATGAGCAGGCCATTAGAGTGGGTGGAAGGGGACCATGATTGGTCCCCATAGTTACCAGTAGAAAGAGGGAATGAAGAATTCAGCTATAAAACTGCAGGCCCAAACCTCCTTCCCCAAAGCTGAAACCCTGTGGGGTGGGGGTTGTATAGTTTAGGTTCCTTATCTTTACAGCTACACCTGTGTGAGGATAAGGGGCCAAAGCTGTGTAACCCTTGCAGGAGATGTCCTTTGAACTCCCCACATGTGCTTTGAGTTTCCCGTGGTGAGATTTGCTAATGAGCTTCCCTCAGTGTGAGATGATTTGCTAAATGGTACCATAATGTGTGGAATGTCTCTGAAAACCCTATAAAAACCCTGACCCTTGACTTCTCGGGGCTGCTCTGTTCCTGCGTGTTCAGAGAGCTCCAGCATGCTGGTCTGAATAAACCCCTTGCTGAGTGCATGAGAGTGTCTCTTGGAGTCGTTCCTGGGGTGGTGGATGTTTCTTGACCCTAACAATACCTCTGAACATAGTCACTAACATTAAAGTTTTTCAAAACTATTTCAAATTAGCTTAACACAATTTTATATTGATAATTTTGAAATATTCTCATGTAATAGCCTACTTGATCAGACTGGTATGAAATTTAAACAATTCATACTACCTGGGTGCTTCATGAGAAACCTAAATCTTATTTTTAAATTGTGTGTTTGTATTGAACTCCATCACAATACCTGGGGAAATCCTTGTAAGATTTCTTAAACTGGGGGCCGGCACTGTGGCGTAGCAAGTAAAGCTACTCGTATCCCATATGGGCACTGGTTAGAGTCCCAGATGCTCCACTTCCAATCCAGCTTTCTGCTATGGCCTGGGAAAGCAGTAGAAGATGGCCCAAGTCCTTGGGCCCCTGCACCTGTGTAGGAAGACCTGGAGGAAGCCCCTGGCTCCTGGCTCCTGGCTCCTGGCTCCGGATTGGCACAGCTCCAGCCATCACAGCAAATTGGAGTGAACCAGCAGATGGAAGGCTTCTCTCTGCCTCTCCTTCTCTCTGTAACTCTTTCAAATAAATCATTAAAGAGGTCTTAAACCAAGATTATGCAAAAAAATAGATTTATTGGAAAATTCATCTTGATTAAGGGGATATTTTCACAGAAATGTGTGAGGAACAATTACATTGTTAACAAGCTAACACACTTAAAATATTAGAAGTCAAATCTTTCAATTGTGGGAATTCCTGGATTGTTATATTTATGTAGTCATTTCTAATTCTCTATAAACTACCCAGTTGGTCTCCATTTAAATATTCAATATTAATTTGTAAGTTAATGTATCACTCCCACAGAGGTAAAAACACAGCACATAATGAGTGATAAATTTTGTAATTACAGGTATGCATGTATCTCTTTGTCTGCTTAGCTTATAAATATCCAAGAAAGGCACATTAAAATTCCTCTCAATGATTGAGATTGGATTAGGTATTCTTGTTTCTGTACCCCAGTTATGTTTTTGGTTTCTACATGTTTAATACTGTATGTATCTATATACATAAATGCATATATGTATAGTATCAGATTTTTTATTAGAGGTTTATTTGAAAAGTAGAGTTACAGAGAGTAAGAGAGGGATAGACACAAAGAGAGGTCTTCCATCTGCTGGTTCACTCCCCAGATGGCCACAATGGCTGGAGCTGGGACAATTGGAAGCCAGGAGCCAGGAGCTTCTTCCAGGTCTCCTACATGGGTGCAGGGGCCCAAGTACTTGGGCAGTTTTCTTATGTTTCCTAGCTGCATTAGCAGGGAGCTGGATTGGAAGTGGAGCAGCCAAGACTCAAACCAGTGTCCATATAGGATGGCTTTACCCACTATGCCACAACACCAACTCTAATATTATATATTAAACTTCATATTTTTTAGTTCAGTTATATTGTTTTACGAGTTCAACCAGTCACACACATATATAGTATCATTAGATATTAAACTTTATTGATTCACATAAGCTATGTTTTTGATGTATAAAACAAAACATACCGCTCTGTTGGCATTCCATATAGGAGGGCTGCTTCATCTCTGATGTGCCTGGGAATGCAGCAGAGAATGGCCCAAGTACCTGAGTCCCTGCCACCCACGAGGAGAAACAAATAGAGTTCCCAGCTCCTAACCTCAGCCTAGCCCAGCCCTGGCAGTTGCAGCCTTCAAAGCAGTCAACTGTCTCTGAACAGAATAAAAGCTGAATTTAAAAGTTTCTGGGGGCCGGTGTCATGGCTCACTAGGTTAATCCTCTGCCTGCGGTGCCAGCATCCCATATGGGCACCAGGTTCTAGTCCTGGCTGCTCCTCTTCCAGTTCATCTTTCTGCTGTGGCCTGGAAGGGCAGTGGAGGATAGCCCAAGTGCTTGGGCACCTGTGCCCACATGGGAGACCAGGAAGAGGCACCTGGCTCCTGGCTTTGGATTGGCATAGCTCCAGCCGTAACAGCCATTTGGGGGGTGAACCAAAGAGAAAGGGACCTTTCTGTCTCTCTCTCACTGTCTATTAATTTTTTTTTACAGATAAAGTTTCTAAGCAAATATGTAGTTTAAAAAACAAATTCCCACATACAAATCTTCCAAGCATCCGTTCCCTCAAGAACACTCCCCCTGGTCTCTCTATCCCACCTTTCCTAATTCCTCATTCTTTGTGTTTTCAGTTCTCCATGAATCTTCTACTCCATCCCTCTTACTCCAATAAGCAGACTTCCTGACTCAGCATTCGGTCTGGCCCAACTGAACATGCCAACCCTATCCATGACGTCACTCTAAACTGACATAAACTCACAGACACGTTAAACCCTAGAAGCAAGAGCAAGTTTTTATATCATCTGTAACTTGACTTCCAAACTTGTATACACCTGGGTTGCATTAGTAGGTAATTTAATGTATGAAACTTACAAATGACTCAAATGAGGATACATGCCTTATAAAAATGATACAATTAAATAGTAAATATAAAATAATTGGTACAATGCCTGGAACATAGTAAACTCTTACCAAATGCTACTTATATAATCATGGCAATGAAGGTGGTGCTGACACTAATGATAGCAACAGTGGTAATCATTAAGAAACTGACAGAAATAAGTTATTAGCACAACGTAATTTTGTTTTTCTTCACTGACAAACATTCAATCAGCATCCTACACTTAACATTTGGATCCCTCCTCTTTCTGGGAAATTTAAAAAATGTGTTGAACTCTTCAAATGTATTTTGTGTCCAAGAAGTGATATCAGAAAAGAAACCCTGGGCCGGCGCCGCAGCTCACTAGGCTAATCCTCCGCCTAGCGGCGCCGGCACACCGGGTTCTAGTCCCGGTCGGGGCGCCGGATTCTGTCCCGGTTGCCCCTCTTCCAGGCCAGCTCTCTGCTATGGCCAAGGAGTGCAGTGGATGATGGCCCAAGTGCTTGGGCCCTGCACCCATGGGAGACCAGGAAAAGCACCTGGCTCCTGGCTCCTGCCATCGGATCAGCGCGGTGCGCCGGCCGCAGCGCGCCGGCCGCGGCTGCCATTGGAGGGTGAACCAACGGCAAAAGGAAGACCTTTCTCTCTCTCTCACTGTCCACTCTGCCTGTCAAAAAATAAAAAAAAATAAAAAATAAAAAGAAAAGAAACCCTAAGTTTACCACCTTTATGCATTCTGCAGTTGGAACTTTCTCAGCTTGGCCAACAGAATACTCACCTGGGAAGGTGCTCTGTGAGCCAAACACTACTTTTATACAGCACTCAAAACTTTTTCTCCAGCAGGCACTTGGGAGCAGTTCTGGACACTCGTCCCACATTCCAGCTTGGGGTCAATGCTCTAGGGACCGAGAAAGTCCTTCTGCCTCCTCCACAGCTTCTTCATGGCCATGATCACTTCCTTGTTTCTCAGGGTGTAGATGGCAGGATTCAGCATGGGGGTAACCATTGTATACAGCACAGAGACTGCTTTGTCCATGGAGAATGTCCGAAAAGGCCTTGCATAGATGTATATGCAGGGCACAAAGATTAAGGTGACCACGGCAATGTGAGAGGCGCAGGTTGACAGCGCCTTGCTACGACCCTCCCGTGAGTGGCTTCGGAGCATGACCAGCAGTGCTGTGTAGGATCCCAGCAACACCAGGAAACACATCAAGGTCACCAAGCCATTGTTAGACACCATTAGAAGCTCTAAGATGAAAGTATCCGTGCAGGCCAATTTGATTAACTGAGGCACATCACAATAAAAGTTGTCCAGCTTGTCGGGCCCACAGAATGGCAGCTGGATAGTCAATACAACCTGTACAATGGAGTGGATGAAGCCTCCCACCCAGGAGGCTGCCATGAGGAGCCCACAGACTGTCTGATTCATAATGAATGTGTAGCGCAGTGGTTGGGAAATGGCAACATAGCGGTCATATGCCATGACGGTCAGCAGGAAGATCTTGATGCCACCAATGAAGTGGAAGAAAAAGAGCTGAGTCAGGCAGGCACCAAAGGAAATGCTGGGGCTGCCCGAGAGCAAGTCAACCAGCATCCTGGGCGCCGTGATGGAAGAGTAGCAAAAGTCCAGGAAAGAAAGATTACCTAAGAGAAAATACATGGTTGTGTGCAGATGTGGGTCAGAGGTCACGATGGCCACAATAAGAAGATTTCCAGTTACAGTCACAAGATATACAGCACAGAAGACAATGAAGAAGAAGCACCGCAGCTCCCATACCTGAGAGAGCCCCAGGAGGACAAATGCTGTGACCTGCGAATGATTTGCTGGATTCACCTGCTGGCTGTGACCAGTGAAATGCATCTGGTAAGGAAAAAACACACATTCATCAGAGGATCTGCAAAGTGCCCTGACACAATCTCCCCCATTCTCCACTACTTCAGTTACCACAAGCAGGGGGTTATAAGCGGTTCTACAGGACACCAAGCAGCTGAACATCATATGTTGATGTAATGAAACTCAAGGGCATAAAGCTCAGGACTGTGCTGGTGCTATTTTTGATTTTTGAAAATAAACAGTGATCAACCCTCAAAAACTGAGAAGTAAGGTATAAAGGAAAAATCTCTAGACTGAAAAGGAACATGAATTCCATCACTAACTAGTTGTATCATTGTTAAGAACCCTCTGAAGTTCTCTATGCCTCACTTCTCTCATCTATGATAGATTAACCAAAATACCCTCAGAGCCGTCTTCTTTATTTTTTTAACTTTTATTTAATGAATATAAATTTCCAAAGTACGGCTTATGGATTACAATGGGCTCAGAGTCTTCTATAGTTTAATGTCTTATAGTATATGTGGCCTTGATTTAGAAAACCTGATGGATCTCCACATGCCAGGCATGCAGAGAGATCCCCTGACATAGTTCTCATTTATATCCCCAAATAAAAAACATCTGAAAGATACCCATAATATCCATGGATAAATACCATGGCCTTCTGAGAGAGCTCTACCTAGGATGTATATTATCAGTCCTAGAAGGATGCTTCTCAGCCTTTTGGCTAAGCTCAAGTGAAGGAAGTTGATATTATGGGAAAGAGAGAAAAATAGAAAACATGGTTTACCCTTTTCAAGGTTATTAAAAAATAACTCTTTCCACTAAATTAAATAAGAAAACATGAAAGAAAAGGCTTCCTGTCTTGTGGCTCTGGGAAACTCAAAGAAACCAGTCTGTGGAGAAATAGAGGGAAGGGTAACTACAATACTTACCCACCTCTGAAGAGTTTGAGTATCTTTGTTAGTTTCAGGAACAATACCCAGACTACCTGCTCAGTCAGGTCAAGAACAACAAAGGAGACTATAAAGATCAATTGAAATTTAAAAACTCATCATCTAAATGCAGAATAACCTCAACATTTCAAAATACTGAAAAGAAAGGTTTTCAAAATTCATTTCAGTATTTTATAAAGATGTTAGGAAATCTGACAAAATGAACTCTGGAACAAATCCCTTCACATTCCTTAATAGAAATGTTAACTATCACTTGAATTTAATTTTAAATAGATGTTTTGATAATATGTTCCTTTCTTGTCTCTATTCACTCATTAAGCATTTGCTAACTCTCCCTTACTGGGCACTATGTTCACCACCAAGGATTTAAAGAGAACAAGAGCATAAATGACTTAGGGCAACTCCAGGTGTGTAACACTCTGCAGAGGGCCTTCCCCTCCGGACTTCCTGCCCATGTCTTTAGTTTCATCATTCTGCACAGCACAAAGCTTCTCTCACACAAACCATGTGATCTGGAAGACACCAAACAATTCAAAGTTCTCAAAACCTGTCAAGCTGTGGGGTGAGGGGTGGGGACGGGCGGAGTGGGGTTATGCAGCATTGTGGGGAAGTGAGTCAAGCCAAGGCCTGAGATGCCAACAACCCATATGGATGCAGGTTCTTTTGTTTTTGTTTTTATTGTTTTTTGTTTCTTTTTTTTTTAAGATTTATTTCATTTATTTGAAAGTTAGAGTTACAGAGAGGGGTAGAGACAGAGAGTCTTACATCTGTTAGTTCACTCCTCAGATGGCCACAATGGCCATAGCTGCACCAATCCAAAGCCAGGAGCCAGGAGCTTCTTCCAGGTCTTTCACATGGGTGCAGAGGCCCAAGGATTTGCCCCATCCTCCACTGCCTTCCCAGGCCATAACAGAGAGCTGGATCAGAAGAGGAGCAGCCAGGACCAGAACCAGCACCCATATGGGATACCTGCACCCCAGGCCAGGGCTTTAACCCACTGTGCCACAGCACCAGCCCCAGGTGAAGGTTCTTATCACAGTTGCTCCACTTCTGACCCAGCTCCCAGTAATGAGCCTGGGAAAGCAGCGGAAGATGGTCCAAGTCCTTGGGCACCTGCACCCACATGGGAGACCTGGAAGAAACTTCTGGCTCCTGACTTTGGATCAGCACAGCTCCAGCCATTTTTGCCAATTGGGGAGTGAACCAGCAGATGGAAGACCTCTCTCTTTCTGCCTCTCCTCTCTCTGTATAACTCTGATTTTCAAATAATAAAATCTTAAAAAGAAAAAAAGAATGCCAGTCAAATCCTACTTGCTCCTCTTCCAATTAAGCTTTTCGCTAATGTGTCTGGGAAGGCAGCAGATGATGACCCAACTACTTGGGTCCCTGTCACCCATATAGGAGACATGGATGGAGTTTCAGGAACCTGGCTTCAGCCTGGCCCAGACCCGGCCTTTGCAACCATTTAGGTAGTGAACCAATGGTTCATATTTCTCTCTCTCTCTCCCTTTCCTTCTCTCTCTCTCTCTCTCTTCCTCTCAATAAATATTTTTTTAAAAAAGGAAAAGTCACATTTAAACTTAAAATATATTTAGAAAATACAGTTGAGCATTCTATGTATCAAACTTTACAGACATTAGGCAAATTAGTAAGAATAAAATTATAATCATAATTTCATGTATTTGAAGATAAAAAGAAGGAAAATAGATAAATTAGAATCCAACAAAAGACACTACGAAGGCACTGGCACTGTGGCACAATGGGTTAAGCCACCATCTGCCATGCTGGCATCCCATATGAGGCCTTGATGTTCTACGTCCAATCCTGCTCCTTGCTAACGTGCCTGTGAAAGCAGCAGAAGACTGTCCAAGTGTCTGGGCCCCTACACCCAAGTTGGAGACCCAGATGCAGCTCCTGACTTCTGACTTCAGCCTGGTCCAGTTATTGCAGCCATTTGGGGAGTGAACCAGTAGATGGAAAATCACTCTCTTTCTCTCTGTCTCTCTCTCTCTCTGAAAATCTGCCTTTTAAATACATAAAAGAATCTCTTTTTTTAAAGGTATTATGAGGGTACTATGCAGCAGCAGGTTAAAGCCTTGGCCTGAAGCACCAGCGATCCCATATGGGCATCAGTTCGAGTCCAGATGCTCCTCTTCCTATCCAGCTCTCGGCTATGGCCTGAGAAAGTAGCAGAAGATGGCCCAAGTCCTTAGGCCCCTGCACCCACATGGGAGACCTGGAGGAAGCTTCTGCCTCCTGGCTTCATATCAGCGCAGCTCTGGCCATTGTTGCCAACTGGGGAGTGAACCAGCAGATGGAAGACCTCTCTCTGTGTCTCTACCTCTCGCTGTAACTGTCTTTCAAATAAATAAATATTTTTTAAAAAAAGGCACTATGAAGGAAAAATATAGAGTCAAGAATAGCGTACCTCTCTCCCATCTCCCACAATCCCAAAATAAAAAATGGACATAAGAAAAAGCTAATTCTTTGCCTAAATTAACAACCTATATACAAATATATGGCAAACTTAAGCAAGATAGAAAAAGAAATGCAATACAGAGGCACAGCACTGGGAGCTATCAAAAGAACAAATCACAAGAATTTTTTTTTTTTTAAAAATTGTGTGAAATACATATAAATAAATTTTAAGATCTAGTTACATGGATGTTTTAGGAAAATATAAACAAGCCAACTAATGTTTTGAATGTGGAAAGCATAACAGTGCAAATAATAACAATATAAATTCAAGAGTTTGTAAAAGAGTGCCCCTTAAACAGTAAAATACTCGATGGGGATAATACACTAATCCATCAAGGTACACTTGAGTCCTGAACTGCTGTATTACCAGAACCTAACAGATATCTAGCACACAACATTTCAGTAACTCAATACTTACTTATAGGAAGAATAAAATACACTAACCACTAATTAACAGAGATAATGATGGCAGCTATGGGGCAGGCATTTGGCCTACAATTAGGATGCCCACATCCCACACTGGAGTGCCCAGTTCCAATCCCTGGCTCCAGGCCTTGACTCCAGCTTCCTGCTAATGCAGACCTGAGAGATGGCTAGGATGGCTCAATTGTTAGATTCCTGTCACCTATGTGGGAGCATGGATTGAATTCCTTGATCCCAACTTCTGTTCAGCCTAGTGCTACCCATTGTGCCTATTTGGGGAGTGAACCAACCCATGAGGACTCTCTGTTATGTGTGTGTGTGTGGTGGGGGGTGTATGGGTGTGTGTGTGTGTGTGTGTCCTTGTACCTCTCTCTTCACTCCCCCTCCTTGCCTCTTAAATACATGCTTTTGTAAAAATGTGGTGACCACCCCTATTCTTTTCAATAAGGCTAATATATTTTTACCACTATAATGAGACAAACACATACCCAATTAGAAGAAAAATATTAATTAATCTCAACACGAATATAGGTGTGAAGTTCTGAATAAAATTCCAGAATATAGGTGTGAACTTCTGAACAGAATATCAGAAAGTCAGAATCTGGAACCCAATGCAGGTCTCCCATGTGGGTGTCAGGGACTCAGGTACTTAAGCCATCACTGCTACTCACCAAGATGTACACCGGCTGGAAGCTTTACTGGAAGTAGAGCTGGGACTCAAATCCAAGCCCTCTGACATGGGATGTGGGCCTTCCCTGTGTTACCTTAAACAGCGCACAAACACCAGCCCATCCTGCATTTCTGAAATTTAACTCCTTGTCTATCTTCCCACATCTTCCTGCTGCAAAACCTTGGTAATGACTATTCTTCCTGATTCTGTGACTATGACATGTTTGGATTTCACATACAAGGAAAATCTTGCAGTATTTGTCTTTCTGCATCTGGATTATTTTACTTAGCAGAATGCCCTCTAGATTCCTCTATGTTGTTGCAATTGGCAGAATTTCTTTTTGTTTCAAGGCTGAAAATATGGTTATGTTGTGTATGTGAGAGAGAGTGAGCATGCACACATATGGGACAAGTTATTTTTTAATGTATTTATCCATTGACATTTAGGTTGCCTCCACATATTGGCTGTTGTGAATGATGTTAATAGAAACATGAAAAAAACATGTCTTTTTTGAGAAGATAAGATTAACAAACCATTAGCTGAACTAAGAGAAAAGAAAGAAGACTTACATAAATAAAATCAGAAGTGAAAGAGAAAATTTTACATTGAATTCTCCAGGAGTATTAAGAATCATGAGACAATTATAAGCTATTATATGGTGACAAACATGATAATCTGAAAAAAATAATAAATTCCTAGAAACGTGCAACCTAACAAAACTGGATCAAGAAAGATAAGGCCTGAACAGACCAGTAACAATAGAAGGATGAACCAGTAATCAAAAACCTCACAACAAAGAAAATTTCAGGACCAGATGGCTTCTCTGTTGAATTCTACCAAACATTCCAGGAAGAATTCTTAAACTGTTCAAAACAATAGGAGAGGGAATACTTCTAAACTCATTTTGTGGGGCCAACATTACCCTGATACCAGAACCAAACAATGAGACTGCAGGAAAAGAAAATTACAAGCCAATATCCCTGATTAAAACTGATGCAAAAATTCTCAAAAAAAATTAGCAAGCAAAGTTCAATAGCACATTGAAAGGACCACACACTATGACCAAGCAGGGTTTATCCCTGTGGTGCAAGGAGAGTCAACATACACAAATCAAAGTGCTACAACTCATCCTTAACAAAATGGAAGAGAAAAAACATGAACCTCTCAATAGATGCAGAAAAAAAGCTTTAGCAATGTTCAACTCAATAAAAATAAACTTACAATTCAACACAATGTTAGCCAAAAATGCTAACAGTAATTTTTTAAGAAGTCGGATAGGACATTCATAAGTTCATCAAAAAAGGAACATGCTAAAAGTGGGAAATATTTTTAAAAATCTTTCATTACCAGATATTTAGAAGAATAATGCTCATGCATTTACAATAATTAAAGGGATGAACTGTTATCGTACAAAATGACAAATGAGACAGAATAAATTATGTGCATACACCCATAAACTCACACACACATAAATATACAGACACTATACACTCATACTGCGTGCAGGAATTTAAGATATGATGAAGGTAGTATCTCAAATTAATAGAAAATATCAACTACTGAGTAAAGTTTTTCTAAAAATCTATTTTCTTTAGCAAAAACTAATGTTTGACTTGTACACACTGTATATAAAAAGCAAATTCCATGTGGATAAAAATTTCTATTTAAATAACATTTAAAACAAATGTTCTAGAAGAAAACAACAGCCCAGGCCATTGTGCTGATTTGAGGAGTGAATGAGCAAATGGAAAATCTCTCTGTCTCATTCTCTCACACCCCATCCTGCTCTTCCCCCTCTCCATTTCTCCTTCTCTTTGTCACTCTGCCTGTCAAATAAATAAATGAAGCTTTTTTTTTAGATGTTTTTGTTTATTTGAGAGGTAGAGTTAGACAGTGAGAAGGAGAGACAGAGAGGTCCACCTTCCATTGGTTCACTCCCCATATGGCCACAATGACCAGAGCTGCACAGAACCGAAGCCAGGAGACAGGTGCTTCTTCCCGGTCTCCCACAGGGGTGCAGGGGCCCAAGCACCTGGGCCATTTCTACTGCTTTCCCAGGCCACAGGAAAGAGCTGGACTGGAAGTGGAGTAGCCAGGACTAGAACCAGTACCCATACGGGATACCGGCACCGCAGGCAGAGGATTAACCAAGGGAGCCATGGCACTGGCTCCAAAATGAAGCTTTTCTTTAAAAGTTGGGGCCCAGCATTTAGGAAGAGCAGGCTAAGCCTCTGGCAACACTGGCATCCCAAACTGGAGCACTGGTTTCAGTCCTGAATGCTCAGCTCTGCTTCTGATTTATCTCCCTGCTAGTGTGCCTAGGAAGGCAGAGAACGATGGTTCAAGTTCTTGGACTCCTGCCACCCATGTGGGAGACCTAAATGGCATTCCTCACTCTTGGCTTTGGCCTGGTCCAGACCTGGCTGTTATGGCCCTTTGAGGAGTGAACCAGTGGATGGAAGATCTCTCTCCCTCTTCCTGTTAAATAAATAAATAAACCTTTTAAAAAGGCTTTTTAGACTTTTTATAATCTTAGAGTGGATAACCCTTTCTAAGCAAGACACCAAAGCCAGAAGTCATAAATTGTGGGTGATCCCTTGAGATTGCCTGCCTGAGATTTCACCCCTGCCTTCTGCCAATTAGCTTGAAGATGGAATAGACTAGTAGCTTTCCAGGTGGCCTGGGCCACACCCAGGAGCAGTTTACCTGATTGGCAGAAGGTGGGGTGGGGGAAATGTGCCTGGAGCTCCTGCCGCCTGGCAGCAGTCAGGCTAGCTGCATGGGCTAGGCAGGCAGTCTCAGGGGATCGCCCACAGTAAACCATAAATGAAATGACAGAAAATGTGTTACACAATTTAAAACTTTGGTACTCCATACACGTTGCAAAGTATAAAAAGAAACTACAAATGTGTGAGAAAACATGGAATACACAGGCTACCAAGCCGTATGATTAACATAGGAGCAATACCTTCCAAACACAAAGACCACCCCCTATAAGTCAGTGACTGGAAACTCAATAGCAATACCCACAGGGTATATGCAAAGATAATCCTCAGAAGTACAGTGAAGGTATGAAAAGATGTTCAGCTGCAAAAGCAGTCCAGAATACATGATTCAACTTAGGTACATTATTAAGACAAAACTTTTTGAAAGCTGAAAATTCCTGTTGTTGTAAAAGGGGCAGAAGAAACAGTCACTCATCCACATCACTGAATGTCAACTCGTACTTCCTTTTGGAAATTAATTTGGCATTTTCTGTCTAAAATGCCAATAAGCACACATTTTGACTCAGCAATACCACTTCTAGGTAACTAACATATGGAAATCATAAGAAATACAAAGATAAATGTACTGAGGAAATTGCAATCTTATTTGCTATAAAAATATAATAAATTATGGAAATTTTACAAAATGAAGCACATAATTTTTAATATCCTATCTGTTTTTAAAAATTGTATTTTGGGGAGCTGGCATTGTGGTGTAGCAGGTAAAGCCACCACCTGTGATGCCAACACTGAATATGGGTGCTGGTTTGTGTCCTGGCTGCTCCAGTTCGGATCCAGCTCCCTGCTAATGGCCTGGGAAAAGATGAAGCTCCTGGCTCCTGGCTTCAGCCTGGTCCAGTACTGGCCATTGCTACTATACTAGGAGTGAACCAGAGGATGAGAGATTCCCCCCCCCCACACACACACACACACAGGTGCAGTGGCTCAAGGACTTGAGCTATTTTTACTACTTTCCCAGGCCATAGCAGAGAGCTGGATAGGAAATGGAGCAGCTGGCACTCGAACTGGCACCCATATGGGATGCCGGCACTACAGGCAACAGCTTTGCCACAGCACTGGCCCTGAGGAGTTTCTTAAGTCATGATTTGTGCTGAAATAATTAATCCTCTTTTTTTTTACTATAATATATTTGAAAACAGATTTATGCCAGTGGAATGCTGCTACTTGCATGGAAGAGATTGCCAAGTATAAAACTTTAAAAATTATCAATGTTCTGTTCACTGGGTTTGCTTCCTGTCTCTCACCAGCCCAGGTGGAATTCCTCTGCTAACGGCACCAGCAGATTCCCTGGGCTCTCTACCTCAGACTCTTCTGTGCCCAGTCTTACTTCTCAACTCTGAATTATTGCTTGTTTGTGTTCAATCTCAGATACTTAATCGGAGTATTCTCTGCCTCCTATGAGAGGATATTGTAGAAAGGTCTTCCCCAACATGAGATGACTTATGGTTTTCTCATGACCAATTTCCTGACCAAAGAAAGCAAACCCATCCTTGGCTAAGTACGCAGTCCAAATGCTTATTTAACACAGTCAAATTGGAATAAGTGTCAAGTAAGAAAAATAGTGTATTTTGCATGCTCTAAATCCCCTCCTTAACTTCCTATCAAATTTACAACAGCTGCTATTTCAAACTGGTGGACAAATGATGGATACCTCTAAATATAATATCTCCTTGGAGTTCACCCTCATCAAATCATTGAGGGGCCGGTGCTGTGGCATAGTAGGTTAAGCCTCCGTCTGCAGTGTCGG